CTTAAATAGTTTTAATTATTTATAAAGCTAAGTTATAGAAAGTATTATTAATATATATTAATTATTAAATATATATTATTATATTAATTATATTAATTATATATAATTATATATAAGTATTATAAATAAAAAAAAGTTAAAAAACTTTAAAGAAACTTAAATAATATATAATAAAAAATAAAAAAATAATATATTATTATTATTAATCTACCCTTATTATCCTTATAAGATATTAGGTCCTTTAATAATTTAATAATATAATAAAACTATTACTTAGCTACTACCCTAAGGCCTTACTACCCTTAGCCTATACCTAACCTAGATAAAAACCTATACTCTCTATATTATCTATTATTATATTATAATTCCTAGTATTTATTAATAATTAATAACTTTTTTATAATAAAGTACTAATTTACTATAAGAAACTATATTTTATATTATTAATTAGTTAATTATTTTATATAAGTATATTAAAATTTATATTATTTATATATATCTTTAAATAGCTAATAAGCCTTTTTTATTATTATTTTCTTTATAGTTATAATCTTTAATATTTAAATAATTTTAACTTTAGTTATATTATAGGATATTAAAGTAATATAATAGTTAGTATATACTTCTTAACTTTTTATACCTAACTAAACCTATAGTTATCTTACTTTATATCTTTTATAGGTTATTTATTACTATCTAACTTTTAGAAAATTAGAATAAAGTGCCTCTAGTAGGATTTAAACCTATAATCTATATACTAACCTATATAGAACTCCTTAATATAGAACTACTATACTATAGAGGTAAAAATAATATATTAAATAATATAAATAACTTAATAAAATAAATTATTATATATATTATTATAATTTTTATAATATAATAATTTTATATTAAAGAGTTTTATATAAATTAATATATAAGTTATAAGTTTAAATCTTATTAATAGTACTTCTTTTTTTAATTAATATATAAATTATAAGTTTAAATTCTATTAAAGATATTTTATTCTAATTTTTTAAAAGCTAGCTTATAATAACTAACCTATAAAAATATAAAATAAGGTAACTATAGATTTAATTTAATATAAAAAAGTTAAAAGATATATATTAATTATTATAATACTTTAATATTTTATAATATAACTAAAGTTAAAATTATTTAAATATTAATTAAATTACCTTAGTTAAACTTTATAATTTATCTAATATTTTTATAACTAAGTTATATTAGTATTTTATTATATAAAATATAGATCTAGTCTAAGTAAAAGCTTATTTTTTTTATATATTCTTTATATTTTCTTTATATTTTATTAAATTATAATTTATAATATTTTTTAATAATTAATTATATTTTAATAATAAAATATTAATTTATCAAAAAGATTATATTTTATATTATTAATTAATCAATTATTCCATTTAAAAATATTAAAAATTATATTATCTATATATACTTTAAAATAACTAATAAATCTTTTTATTATAAATTTCTTTATAATTATAATCTTTAATATTTAAATAATTTTAATTTTAATTATATTATAAGATATTAAATAATATAGTAATTAATATATATCTCTTTTAATTAATTTTATACTTAAACTAGATTTATAGTTGCTTTATTTTATTTTTTTTATAAGTTAGTTATATATTACTTAACTTTTAAAAAATTAAAATAAGATACCTTTAATAAGATTTAAACCTAAAATCTAT